ATTTTGGACAAAGAAGACAATTGGTTTGAAAGAAGAGTGAAGGAAGCTCTACATTAAGCAGGAAAACAACCCTAAACATGGAGAGGAATTAAAATAGTTTGGGAGTCTTGGTCACACATGATGACAATATGGAGCAAAAGGTAAAGGCAATGAAATGGGACTTAATCTGCAGTAATAAGGATGTTGCTCCAGTCGGTTGAGGTGAAGAAGAGCTGTGCTGGAAGTCAAAGCTCCAAATTTTCTAGTTAATTTATGTTCAAGCCCTTATCCATGATCATGATGTATGGATTCTCCATCCATACATTATCTTTACCCACTTTTTGGGTCGCGGGGTCACTGGTGCCCATATCCAGTTATCACTATGCGAGAGAAAGGGGATACCCTGGACAGGTCCAAGTTCATCACAGGGACACATAGAGAGAAACAAACATTCATTCTCTCACTCACACCAAGGGACAATTTAGAGTTACCAATCAGCCTAACATGCATGTTTTTGGTCTGTGAGAGGAAACCGGGGTTCCCGAAGAAAACTCATGCATGCACAGAGAGAACATGCAAACTCCACCCAGAAAGGTCCCGTGCTGGGATTTGAACCAGCAACCTTCTTGCTGAGAGGCTACAGCTTTACCAGCTGTGCCACCTTGAATTTTGTAAGATCTGTGATTCAAGCAGCTGAAATGAATTTCCTTCGCAGTACGACCGGGCTCAGCTTTAGAGATCGGGAGAGGAACTCAATTTTCCAGGTTGCTGCTCCTCAGCATTGAAAGGAGTCAGCTGTGTTGGTTTGGGCTTTTGATTAGGTTGCCTCCTGGGTACCTCCCTTCAAAGATTTGTCAAGCACATCCTGGTAGGAGACCCCAAGGGAGGCCCATAATTCATCGGAGGGATTATTTATCCTCTCTGGCCTGGGAATGTGTTGGGATCCCCCTGGAGGAGCTGGGGAGTGTCACTGGACAGAAATGTTGGGGTTTCCCTTCTGGACATGCTTCCTTTGTGACCTAACTAGAGATAAACAGAAGATAGATATTAATGGAATGGATAGCATGGGTGATGCCGACTTGGCTTTTTTTCCCAGGCAGTTTCACAACCATCAAAGCAACACACAGGTTGGATGGATGGGTCAATAATTAATGTGATCTAAGTGACTATTATTCCAAACATCCCAACAGTGACTTATAAACTGGGAACTACTGAAACATGGTTGGAACAGAAGGAGCCTTCATGATGATAAAAGAAATGTGTAAAACAAAACAACAAAAACGAAAATAATTCCAATAGTCTCATATAAAACTCATAACTGTTCATTTAAATGATGTGTTGAGGCGGTTTTTTTTTTTTTTAAACTGTTACTGTCTAAACTTTGTGATCTTTAGAAAATAATATTGGTGCATTTATTTCAGCATTAGACTGTGGTAATTACCACAGTCTAAATTAGCTCCTGCTGCCTCCAGCTTTATCACAGCAGGGACTCAGACTTCCATCTGTGTTAACGTGAACTAATATTTTGCCTTGTTTTTATACACCAACAACAGAATTAGACTTTTAAACCAGTCTTTTTACCCTGATGCTGGACTATATATTACAGTGGCTTCAGTGTAACTCACTACTTGAAAAGGCAAAAAAATATATTTTGGTTTCCCCTCTCCACTTTATTGGGGCGAAGAGGAAGAGAGAATTCAACTGGAGGAGTTCAGGGTGCAGTGGTCACAGCTCTGGAGTTTTGTCAGTCCCATTCTTATTCTGCCATGGGAAACACTGAACAGAAGGTTTCATAGAACCAACCTGCCCGAGGAGAAAAAAAAAAAGAGCTGCTTTTTCATCAGAATATAACCTAACACATTTGTACAGCTTCAAAGTCAACGCAAGCTCAGACTTCAAGGTATCACATGAAACTTTTATCAATGAGCAGAGATGTGCAGGAACAGAAAGGAATTCAGAGAATGAGGACAGGAGCAGGATTTGGGGTTAAATGTGGTCCTGATAAGAAAGAACACTGTGTTGTTGTTGTTTTCTTTTCCTCAAAATAATTGTTGATAATTTGACTTTAAAATAAAGAAGGACTCATAGTATATGCGCAAGTAATTCATAGTGGATTGAAGGCGTGTTTTGCACGTCCATGACTGAAGGTTAAGCTTAAAGTTCCTTGTAGTTTTGTATTTTTGAAAAGCTTTTTCGACACTTTGCTGCCTGCTTCGCAAAACTTGTCAGCGGATGCAGCACATGGTCAAAAATGATGCACACATGTGTGCCACAAGTGTGAGGGAGGGTGATGCTCTTTTGGAAGGCATCACATTCATTTAGCATGTGCCTAATGTTGTGGGTGCTGTGACTGACTGAGCAGAAGGAAGAGGGCAGCTGAGCAGTCTGCTGCCAGTGGGTCTGCATGGGAGAAATAAGATGGAGGAGTTGCTCTTCTACCCTCGGTAAGCTCATCCACAAGGAGCATTTTTGCAAAGATTTGGCCAAAAAACTACAAACTGCTTGTTTTTGTATACTGTATTTTTCACTGTATAAGTCACTTTTTTTTTTCATAATTTGCATGCCCTGTGATTTATATGCCAAAGCAACATCCATCCATCCATCCATCCATCTATCCATCCATCCATCCATTATCTTTACCCGCTTATTCCATTTTGGGTCACGGGGGTCGCCGGTGCCCATGTCCAGCAATCACTGTGCGAGGGGCGGGGTACACCCTGGATGGGTCGCAAGTCCATCACAGGGCCACATAGAGACAAACGAGACAAACAACCATTCACTTTTTCACTCACACCTAAGGACAATTTAGAGTTACCAATCAGCCTAACATGCATGTTTTTGGTCTGTGGGAGGAAACCGGACTGCCTGGAGAAAACCCACGCATGCATGGAGAGAACATGCAAACTCCACCCAGAAAGGCCCCAAGACCGGGGGTTGAACCAGGGACCTGCTCACTGAGAGGCAGCAGCTCTACCAGTTGCGCCACCATGCTGCCACCAAAGCAACATATTTATGTTTTTTTTTTCCCCCCATATTTATAAACCAATTTTTGTCTGAAATATGACCGTTTTCATTCATTCTGACTGAAAATATTGAATACTACCATTTTCAGCCGCTAGATGGCACTCGAGTAGTATGCCATGCCGTTTTGTGATGTAGTAGGTGAAAATGGCTATTAATGACACAATTGGCTTGCCATAGCCTTCCATCTTTGTCCAGCTCGCTTGGAGCAACCGTCAAATTAGCTTCATTTTGCTGCGCTGCCCCGGCGATATGCAGCTAATTTGACCATTGAAGTGCATTTATTAAGTAAAATTTCAACTGAGACACACCTTTACTATACAGTTAAGCAAACAAATAATTGTTTTTAGGTGGTTATCTTGTTAAATTTGGAAGAAATGCACAGCAACTCGCCCCTCTGTGCATGCCCACTTCCGCGTATCGGGTTTTGAAATGCAGCTGACTTGACTGTCAAAGTGCATTTGTTAAGCAAAAGTTATACTGAGACACACCTTTACTATAATATCGAGCAAACAAATAATTGTTTATAAGTGTTAATCTTGTTAAATTCTTCTTAAAGTCCTTCTGTGCATGCTCCTGCGGCTGCCATTTGGCAGCCAATTGATTTTTGGCACAACACCGGCCCACATTTCCGGGTTGTCAGCAGTGACGTGTAATAATGTGACGTATATGGCGAAACAACGTATTTATGGATTTTTCCACTTTATTAGACATATTTGGACTGATTCGACTTATAGGGCGGTGCGACATGTACGGCGGAAAATATGGTATGTATGTCCATGTCTAAGAGCAGGGAGGACTTTTTGCAATTCACACTTTTCTTGCTGGTCATGCTACTGGAAGTAAGTGGTTGCAACCAAATGCTGAATTTAATTAAGTTTTTAGGTATGTGTTATTTTTAACTCACAAGCTAATTGTTTTGTATGGTATGTTTATCATGTGTTTAATTTGCATTGCATTAAAATAGTGCAGTTATACAGGAAAACTCAGTCCATTGCAACTAATGTAACTTCTTTTATTCCTGTTGCAGCTCCAGCAGACGAGGTTTAATTAGTGGGACATTCCACAGAGCAAGTTAGCGACCAAGTGAGAGAAAGAGGAAGTGAAGAGTGCCATGTTTGTGACAGTCTCTCTCATTTGAGGCAGATAAAAGATGAAAACGGAGCCTTTGATTCTGCTCTTCAGCAAGGCCAACAGAGACTGAAGCAGGGTGAAAAAAATGAAGCGTTAATGGAGAAGCGACCTTGTTGCGTTAACGCACATCTTTAGTCTATTAACAGTTCGATGCTTGAAACCGCAAGCTGAATTGCTGTGTGATGACTGGCTCTTCGAAAAGCTGATCTTCAGTTAAGTTCAGATGGAGGCGTTTTCTGTTTCAGGGGATTAAAAGCATCCCCTGCTGTGAGACTTTTGCTCCGAAATGAAACAGAATTCTTATAAAATCTGGTTTTAGTTATCATTTGGGTTGTGAAGTGGATTTTTGGTCTTTAAGATGGTAAAAGATTAATTGAAAAGTTAAATGTTTACTGCTTTACTGTTTTATTCCATGCTACAATGTAGAGTTTAAATGAGAGGAATATGCTCAGAATTATCAAATATTACAGCTGTGACTTGGCAACAGGATGATTCTTTGACTTGCTGCTCCTGAAATGAAGTTCTATTCTGTCTGTACAGCCCAGTGGTGTGCTTGTAAGGATAGACCCCTGACGGTTATCCTGTGTGTAGCTGTCAGATTAAATCGCAATAAAACAAAGTACATCTGCCTTTACTTTAGGTTACTGCTATTACTTCTGCTACAGCTTTCTGGTTTTTGCACACACTGCCTCTAGGAAGCGATAAATGTCAACGCATACTGCCTTGCATCACCTTCACGCATTTTTTCTCAGTGAGAGAGTACATCTGAAGCAAAAAATGAATCCCGTGTCTGATATTTTGGTCTCGTTCAGTTGATTTTATACACTTCTGAGTCACTTGTTTTGTTTCTGTTTCCTTGTTTGCAGCGACCAGTTCCACCAAGCTGGAAGATCTGAGCTTCCTCGATGAACAGCGCAACACCCCCCTGCGGACATCCATTCGCCTGCCGTGGCACAACACCGGAGGACGGCCACCTCAGGACTCTAAAGGTGACTGGTGCCGTCATGCAGTCTTACTGTACACACTGTGTATACACTGTACCAGCTATGGTACAGTCACAGTTTATTGTGTAAATGTTTATGAAGCATTCACACTATTGTGATCCAGTTTTCTTCTGTACGTTTTTCAGCGTCTTTCTCGTTCCACAGTTACTGTGAAATTTCAACATATCATATCAAAACATTCAGCTCTTTCAGGACAATCCTGCTATGACTTTTGGTATTGGTGCAACTTTAGCTTTTTGAAAAAATTAGTTTTTTCTGTCACTTTTTTCCCCATAGAAAAACTGAGCTCATTTTACATCCTTCAAAATCTTTAGATCTGTTTACAACTTTTTACTGCTCCTTTCACATTTTGTTCTGCTTCAGCTTCTTTCAGCTTCCTTGTGCAAATTTAAAAACAATTCAGCTACTTTCATCTGTTGTAATTTCAGCTGTTTTTTTCCAGCAGTTTTGTGCTCCTTTCTGCTTTATTTCTGCTATCTACAACATTTTTGTGCTTCTTCTAACTTATTTTTGCTAATTTTGACTTGGCATGCTCCTTTCAGCTTATTTCTGCAAGTTTAAACTATTTCTGATATTTCAGCTACTATTTAGCTGTTATGCTAATTTGAGCTTTTTCAGCTATTTCCACATATTTTGCACTTATTTAAACTTTTTTCAGCCTAATTCAGCAAAAGTGTTGTCTCTCTACTTCCTTCTGGTAACTTAAGCTTGTCTCTGCTTTTTTTTTAGCTACTATTCAGCTGGTTTTTTTTTTCAAATTTCTGCTTTTTTCAGATAATTTCCACTTTTTTTTTTTTTTTTTGCTAATTTCTGCTTCTTTCAGCCTAATTGGGAAAAACTGCTCTCTCCACTTCCTTCTGCTAATTTAACCTTGTTCTACCTTTTAAGCAAAGATTTTAGCATTTTTAGCAAATTTCAGATGTTTTCAGATAAATTCAAGTTTTTCGTGGTAATTTCTGCTTCTTTCAGGCTAATTAATTTATTTCTGCTAATTTTAGCTTGTTATGCTAGTTTCAACTATTTCTGCTCTTTCAGCTACTATTTAGCTGTTTTATGCTAATTTTAGCTTTTACAGCTAATTCCACTTTTTTTAGCTCATTTCAGCTTTTTCTGCTGGGTTTAAGAATATGAAAGAGAGACACATACGTCAGAGTAGACCAGGAGAAAATAGCACAGATTACAGAATAGGCAAGATATTTAATGATATGAACTAGGGCATCATAAAGGAGGTCTTTATAAAGATGTTGTCAATAACTGCCTAATTAAGCACAAATAAACCTGATAAATAAGTTCTGTTTGGATAAAGTTATTGATTTTGTTAGTTAAGCTACAACTGGCTCTCAGCAGTGTTTTTATGTAGAGGGGAGGATAATACATTTTATTTTTGATTTTACAGAAAGTGGATAAAAGGAAGTTAACATGCAAAATTAACCTTTATTTCTTGCCATTATAGATAATTAGAAATTACCATTGAATATTTATATTTGCATTGTCTGCATCTCATTCAATGTGAGTCTGTGTTAGTAGCCGTTATACATTTTCAGTAACAAACACTTGAAGAAAGTCAAAGTGACTAGAAAACCTTTCATGTATAATGTATGCACCCATTTTTTATATTTGTTTAAAATAATTTAGTTTTATTGTTTTAAAAAAAGACCACCTGCTCAATGCCTAATATATTTATCACAAATTCTGTTCTGGTTTTTTTTGTTTCTGCAGCACGTTTCGCTCCCTACAAACCTGTGGATATCATGCTCAAGCCCTTACTGTTTGAGGTACCCAGCATCACCACAGACTCTGTGTTCGTGGGGCGAGATTGGCTCTTTCACCTGCTAGAAGATATCCTAAAGGCCAGCGAGTCCAGTGGGAGCCAGGGAGCAGTGGTGCTGGGCAGCGTGGGCTATGGGAAGACAGCCATTATCTCCCGGCTGGTAGCGCTAAGCTGCCATGGAGGACGCATGCGCCAGATCGCCTCCAACAGCCCCAGTGCCTCCCCTAAAAGTAATTAGCTTTAGTATTTTAATTTGTATGTAATTTTTCAGTTTGTATAAATAATGTAAATTTGTATTAAGCAAATTAAATTGATTTGCTTTACAAACTTTGCCAAAACAGTATACATGCCACCTGTTTTTCTAATTTTCTAATATTATATTTTATTTGATTAGTCAAACTGGCTGCTTTTTCACTCATTTTCTGTTTATAGTATTTGTTTGTTTTGTCACATAACTCTGCCACAGCTAAAATCCAAGGCTTTAAGGCCTTCAGGCATAAAAAAGTTCCTTAACTTTGAGGATGAACCAGTGATGTGTTGACACAAAACCCACAAATTAGCAAAGAAATAACTTTAAATTAGATTTTTTTTTTTAGTTACTTTTTTAATGCCGTCTGTCAGAAAGGCTTTTTTTTTTTTGTTGCTATTTCTTTTTATTGGATTTTTATGAAAATATCAAAGATAACACAGTTTGATTGATAAAAGCTTAGAATTTTAGCTCCAACAAGGTCATTTGTGAAGCGTTATGAACTGAAAACTTAACATTCAGTAGACGATCAGCTGAAAGATGATGCAACTCTCAGGTTAGGTCCTTACTGTTTTATTATTTTATTTCATTTTTTAAGACACATCTTCTGTTCATCTGGTGTGTGTGTATATATACAGTACAGTATATATATA